TGTTCTCTCCCACAGTAGGTTGTTGCTGATAGTGTCTGGCCGACGGCTCCGAAGTATTTTGCGTAGGCAGCTGTTAATAAACATTTGTATCTTCTGGATGATGGCTTCCGTAGTTTTCCAGGTTTCTGCCCCATACAGTGGACCTGTCATGACTCGCTAATAAAAACACTAACCAGTTTTTAAGCATTATGCTGTTTATATTGCGACATATTACTGAAGTTTCACATTAGATTGACTTTGGTTAGAAAACTGTTTAAAACTAGGAGGCACTAGAGAGCTAGTTAGTTATAGTATAGAACCTACCAGGAGTATAAACACAACCATAACCAGGGACCAAACTCTGGAGCGTTTAACTCTCCACCCGCTGAGTTAAAATACGATGGTGGACTCTCCATGTCCACCAACCCGATTAAAGCACCGGATATTCGCTTTTCATCTTCTCAATTACGTAAACAACAGTAATGCCATGAGAAGGGAGTGAGTAGGACTCCGCTGTCAGTGGTTGTATGCACGTGTCCATGTGAGAGCATTCGGAGAGGGAGAGCTGACTCTCCCCACTTTCGGCCATACCATGACATTCCAAATAAATAATGTCATTACTGATTGAATAAACAATAAGCAGTCTTGTATTATGCAAATTTATTAGATAGACCGACAGTCTTAGCTTAAAAATAATTTACTCATAATATCGTTTCGTCAACATTTCGGAAATTCTGTGCACAACTCTCGTGAAAACTGATAAAATCGTTCATTTAAGTATTTATTTCCCTATACAAGAATTAAATATATTTTTTTATTGAGATGATGAATCGATCTAAGCTACACCACCATTGAAGATCTAGAAGCATTGGACCACCCGTCTCGTCCTATAATATATGGGACTGTAATGTCGGTTATTATGTTAAGCCCATATACCTTATTCTAGCTTTCGGACAGCCCATTCTATTCATTTTACTTGCGTCACATTCTGACCTTGTTATTTATTCGCTTGTCAATCTTGACTGTTTTTATATGAGTGTATGTGTGTACATTTCTTATCCCATTACTCATCACATGTCTGTAACTTACTTTTGTGTAGCTGTAACTATTGTTTAATGCTTGGTTAAATGGGTGTTGGCTTACCAGCCAACTGCACTCTGCGTCGTTTCTCCTCTCTCTATTCCATTCGCTTTATATACAAATTATATGTATTCAAAAGTCCTTTCTCGTTATTCGACTTATTTAATTCCGTTATTGACTAACGCGATTTAAGTCGATGTTTATATACGAGAATAGGCGATATATATGTTTCAATAACAATCATTCATACGATCTAATTGAAATCAGATCTCGGGCCACTAAGGTGGAGAGCTCTTTCGATAGCATCGTTCGATGACTAATTAACGGGCCCCACAGGACTCCTCAACAGTTCGTATCCATGATCAAGCATGCGAGATTCGAACCCAGGGCATTCGGTTTCGCGTGCGAATGCCTAACTTCTAGACCATTCGGAGGGTATCCTGTGGTGTTAATGTGTAACCACAATTCATCCACGGAATTGCGCGACCGTCCACCATTGTCTGTCTCTATCTGGCACAGATTAGCTCATATAAATGAATGTTTGTAGTGAAAGTAACTTGTTTTAAGATTGCAGTGACCTACTTTTACCAAGAGAACGCGATTGATTTACTGTGCTCGTTTGTTTAACTGTGCTAAACAGCTATATTATTGCTCCTTTATCCTTCCATTGATTGTGACCTTGCACGGGTTCGGTTACGCTTGGTAACCACGCTTGTACTTCTTCGGTATGATCTCGGTATCCTTTCGATACCACGAGATCGCCAACAAATATATCTCGACTACAGCCATCAACTGCCTTCTGATATGTGACTTACGGGGGATTTTATCGGTTAACTGGCACGTAGTCTTCTTGTAGTGGTGTTCACAGTCAAACGCTACTCGACACCACGCTACAAGATAATAAAAGTCAATTATTAATCATGAAAACCTCATAAGCTATATAGTAATCAACGTCTACAATTGATGTGCATTACTTGTTTTTAGAGACGGATATATATTCGTTGGTTTAAAACGGTCAAGGTCAGCTCAAGAACTGCTCACTTTAGTATAAAATAAATCAACCTTCACTATAATTCAACCTTAACGAAAGTTTATATAAATTAGTTAATGATGATTAATGGTGAGTATAAAATTCTTCTTTTTAAATCCATTAGAACTGACCTATTCTTGAGTTATATCCTGTTTAATTACAAATAATAAATAAGAGTAAATTAATATGTATTTCTCACAGAAGAAGTTGAATTAAATTCTCATATAACACTAAATCTTTAAACAAATTCTTAATATGACTGAAGGGATTTTATACGATAATCTGAACGAATTTATACTGATTATATGGTGTGTGCTACAGTTGTCGACAGATATAAGTAGTATATATCATAAATTGAAAGTGAAATGCCTGGTGTCGTAAGGTTAATAAGATAGAAGAAAAGAGAACGAAAATGATTACTGTTGAAACAAATGAACAATGAAGTCTGAGACAATTGATTAACATTTTGCAAATGAATTATTTACTGTATGGTTCTCAACTTTGACTAAGATATTCTGTAATTTTGTATTCAAGTATATTTAGTTGTAATTTTAATAGTTGAGATCATGAGTCATTTGAGGCTAGACCAGCACGAAGAACCTGGAAGCACTCGACGGCCGATATTGGCATACTTATACATACGAGGTTGATTACAGATGAATATGTGTATCATGATGTAAAGTAAATAAGGTCATAAAAGTTGTTTGTTTCGGATAAATAAAGTTTGGGAGGGAAAGTTCCAGGACAGTGAACTAGTGATTAGAACTCAGAGTTAATAAACATTAGATGATTGTGTAATGAAGCAATTGAAAACAGATGGATAATAATAAAGACATGAACTGAAATCAGTCAGTCATGAATTAAAGAAAAATGACAAAAGAGTTGAAATAATGAATTACGTAATGAGTAATGTTACCAGGGCAAAGAAAAATTTATGACTACCTCTTTTTGAATACATAGATCTGGTTTCAGACGATTGATCGCTATCACTTAGGCAAATTTAAAAAGATTGAAGTTTGTTAATCAATTTGAAAGACTTTAGTGTATTGACTTCATGTCCTGTGTCAAGATTTCTTGCGATGGCACTGCTGAATGCTTCTAATCCATTTGTCCTTAAGCTTTGTTCTTTGAATTGGACATAAGCTCTCCTTTCTGTTCTACCAATGTAACTACTTTGGAAGATACAAGTAGATTTGCATACACAGTTGGTGGTAGCATGAAAGAGATACCTATCGACCTTTGTGTTAAAGAACATGTTATTATAGATAGGACAATCAGTTTAGCTACAGGGTAAGTTCTTATCAATGCAGTTTTTTAGTCTCATATTAGATTGACCCTGTGATATAATCACCTTTGAATTTAATTTGAATAAAAATAAGTTTTTTATTTACTGTAGTTTCTTTGGGTTTTATATAATCTCTTTTTCCATATTTCTCAATAAACACGTACTGCCGATACAATGGGAGAGGAAGTAATGAATGTTAAAATATAACGAATACTCACCGATTATCTTGTTAATCATGTCTCATATGTAGAATATTAACTCGTGGCAAACGACAAATTAGTTAACATTCCTTTTATATCAGAACTCACTATTCTTCGTCGTCTAAACTACGTGTTGTAAACACAGTGTCACTGCCACCAACTATTTTTACGAAAATTTAGACATTGAAAAACCAATAAGTGAGATTAGCTCAGAAAGCTATTGATTGTTAGTTAAGGTCACGTAAATAATTACTCCCATTGTAATTTCTGCTATTATTTTTCCTTATCTATTTTATATTTATCCTCCAGATAACCATGATCTGCAACGATTCTGTATTCCTGTGACGGAAGAAGTCAAGGAAGGTCGGCACATCTCACTTTGGTGCATAGAGTTCCATCGCTGGAGGATAAGTACAGAGCTAATGCATCGGAAACCAAGCATAAAAAGAGAGAATGTGACTGGCCCACAAGAGTTGTCCATTGAGTGATGTGTTCATCCAAAATTATAGAACCACTAGCAATCCAACTATCTTTTAAGATGCCTCAAGCCAACGGAAAGTGACAATTATTCTCTCATCACATACGAGATCATCCCATTACAACTGATTGGTATCCTACTTAATAACCTTACATTCACTTAACATAGAGTATTCAATCGTTACCTAACAATCCAAACGAGTGTTCTATTACTCTAGGCGAAGAAACGCGTTTCATTGAGGAACAAACACCTACTAACATAACTGAATATTAGCACCAGACATAAATAATAATTTGAACTGAGGATTTATCTACATAGTGGACTGATACAAGGTGGTGCTATAATCTATGGACAAAGCTAATCAAGTTTAAGTTAGCATGTCATTGGATCTGGCGTGAAATCAATTCATCCATATGGCCAAATAGCATAATTGATGCCGGTTCGTGATAAAGCCTTTAGTTTAATTGTTAACCCTCGTTTAAACCAAGTAATTAGGGGGATATTCTCAAGGCCACCCGTTCACCAATCATAGTCTCACCACTGTTCAATAAAAAAGCCACCAGACTATGTAGCAGCATAAATGGAGAGCTGAAATACCGGAAATTTTTTTATTTCATCGACCAAAACAATCTAAGAAGTGTACATTTGTAATTTGGCCACTATCAAATAGTTTTTTTCTAAATAGTAAATCACACAGAATAAAGCTTTGTAGAGAATTAGGAATTTCATGGTTTGTATCGGGGATTTGCCTTAATAAAGAAACCTAGAAGTATTGCATCACTGTTTCGTCTCGGTATGAGACAACTCGACAACATGTACCCACGATCCTATCGAGGATCAAAAGTAGGGACCTGAAGGTTTTGAACACTACTGAGGAGTTAGTATACTGGGACGTAACAATTATCTAATCTGTGATGTAAACGACATAATATGTATTCAATATACAAATTCAGTTGTGAAGAGGTATTTTATTATTTCGAAGATACAATAATAATAACAAACGAAAAAAATGAATACAACACAATATCCAAGTGAAATGATATTTTCTCTACAATAAAACAAGATGGTTGGATTTTATCTGCCGTAAAAGCATAATAATAATGATAAAGCTATAAAATAAACAATTGTATATGTACTTGTGTGTGTGTGTGTGTGTGTGACAAACATACTGTTTCCATGATCCGATAGTTAGATAAATGTAAGTGAACGTGTAAGCGTAAAACGATTAAAAGTTAAATTATTGCAATAATGACTCGGAAAACGAAATAGAGTCAATGATCGATATAGGTTTAGTCAGTTATGAATGTAACAGTTACCACCAACTAAAATGGTATGAACATATTACAATAAACAGACAATTATGCACACATACATATGTAGTTGAAATAACCAAAGAATTTTTTAATAAAACTTAAGTTGATTTACAGAGGAGAAGGAGAGAGAGCAGAAAAAACGACACTAAGAAAAGATGTTTGTGTTGATGACAATCAGCACGATGGTAACAATAATAATAATAATAATGCTGACAGAGGTAGATACGTAGAAAAGATGAGTTAGATCGTTTGTGTTACGTTCGGCATCATTTTCTTTTAAAGAAAAAAAAGCAGACACCACTGATAAGCTCGATCATCCACATACAAGTTTGACTGGTTGGTGCACATAGAAACGCTTTAATTCAACAATTTATCCTGTAATATGCACAAAGTTTAAAAACATCTATAAACACATAGGACAAAACCAGTCAGTCGAGATAAAAAGAAAAACAGTTAAAAATAAAGAGAACAGATATAAACAAGAGAAACACGAGCTTATCATTATCATGCCAATTAGTAGTAGTAAATTCTAGATGATAGGCTATGAAATCTCTTTTTATTCAACCGATTAGAAACATGTGTATGCTGCAGAAGCTCACCCTCACAAGATCTAAATGAAAAGGTATACAATAAAACTGGTGAAGAAATTAATCAATGAAACAGAACATACATATGAATTCAGAAACTCCTCTTGTATCATATTCATATGGAAAAGTGCACGACTTAATAGTAATAAGCCAATATAGTCGTTATTGTTGTCATCATCATCATGAAATTTGGAGTAACAGCGAAAAGTTAATAATAATTTTATATATTACACCATACATTAAAACTTTTGTTCACTTTACACCACAAGAGGAGTTTCTAAATTCATATATATGTTCTGTTTCATTGATTAATTTCGTCACCAGTTTTATTGTATACCTTTTCATTTCGATCTTGTGAGGGTGAGCTTCTGCAGCATACACATGTTTCTAATCGGTTGAATAAAAAGAGATTTTATAGCCTATTATCTAATCAAAATAATATGAACAGGGAATCGTCACTGAATAGAAAACAAACAGAAACGTGGAAAAAATTAAGACTCACATGAAACGAAATCTACACACCAGCACTGGCATTATCAATAGGAAAATATATAAAAACGTTAATCGATAAAGAGAAACAACACGAGGTGAAGAAAGTGGATGTATGTGTATATGTGTGAATCCACTTATAATTGTATGGAAAAGTGTGCGAAGAAAATACACACACAGACAAAGAGCATCAATGGTACCGTTACTGTGTTGAATAGTTTATAGATCATTAAAGCAACGGATATAATTGTCATTGTTGAACGTCACTAAAGGAAGAGGAAGTAAATAGACATATATACAAAGAACTTGATGTTAAATTGATAAACATTATGACGGTATTGAATAATAATAATAATAATAATAATAATCTGTCAGTTACAATTTCATTAACTATTAGATCGAATCATGTCGACGTCTATAAGAGATTATAATAATATCTATGATTAACAGGACAGTCTCGTTATTCATTCTACTTGTATTTCTAAATGTTTATAGAATATTTGTAACTGAGGATGTTGAAAGTGTCATGATCTTTGAGCTTTTATTGTTCGTCAGGACAACAACATCGACACATTTCAAACAATAGACACATCCAACACTTTCAATATTACTCTGAATTTTTATTTTTCAGTACGAGGTTGTGGAGACTGTTTTTGATTGAGATCTTGAATCGATCTAAGCTATACCACCTTTGAAAACCTGAAAACACTGGACGGTCGTTTCGTTTTAGGATGGGACTTCTCAGCAGTGCGCGATCCCGTACACGAGATTCGTACTCAGCACCTTGGGTCTCGCGCGCGAACACCTAACCTCTAGGTCAATGAGCTGGCGTCCATTGATGTTAATGTGTAAATTCAACCAGTCCACAAAACCGAACTACCATTTTCCTTTGTCTTCGGTGGGTAACTGTTTCACACCAGACAAGAATTAGCTCCACTAGTCACAGGTTAAACTCAGTAGAATTCATCATCTTTGCTGTTATGCTGATGTAAAGTGTAACGATTTTTAGTAATTATTAAAGATATTGACTAGTGAGAATAAGTTTGCTGAGTACTTTACTTCTATGGTGGCATAGACTACTTTATCTAGTTGATGAACACATAAAACCAGACCATATCATAATCTACAGTCATTAGGAATTGTAAATTAATATATGGCTCAAAGTAGATTACCACATCACAGAAGTAGTCAGTCATTAATTCATCGGTTTTAATTGGTTCCAATTGAATGATAAATTATTTTCTCATTTTAAGCTTTTCACTGAAGACTACACTGTAATTTATGGACATGAACATATTTTTTTTTGAAGTTCAATTTTTTTGTGAATAATGAATTGGATGTGGGGGGATACGAGAACTACGGTCGAAAAATATCTTAGTGCCAGGAGATTATAAAATTTTATCAACCACTTAACTGACTGAATTTAGGCTTATAACAAGCAAGATTTAATTATGATGATAATTTCTATACATTGATATTCGTTTTCTTCCTTCATTTATCGAAACTCGTGTAGTGACTGAGTAGAATATTATCTAAGAAAACTATATCAGTTGAATGATCATTCTCAAACGGTAGCGTGAACCAAGGTTTCAATTTATTAAAAAAATCTTTGTAACACGACTGCTCATGTCCGTATAACATTAACATCTTAGCGACAAAATAGAATTTTTCATAGATTTACATGATCATACTATGTAAATGTGAGTTGTACAATGGCAAAAGTTCCTTCTACATAGATTTGATTTCTTTTTTTTGCTGATAGAAACGATAAAACATGGTACAAAGAGTTGTGATGAAATTGGAGCTTCTTCATAGAAGAAAAATAGTTGTATATAGTAATGTTTTTCTTTGTAAGTCAGTAAACTTGAATAGAGATTTATGTGTTCACTTATAAGCGACACTTATTGACAGTACTTAAATGATGAAATAGAACTAGACAAAGAAAGGTACGAAATTCAAACATTATAGTTGAAAGTCAACTGTTTTTAAATATTGAAAGTCCTTGATAATTTATCAAAGAAGTTTTCAAAAGCCGGAAACATGTTGAAAATACTTTGATTAATCAGTTTTCTTGAGCAGCTTTCAAGAGACTTCTCTAATCAATCGATAATCGCCATTTTACAATGTTTCCCAGAAGCATTGAGATACACTATAAATACTCTTGATTATATATACATGTAACAAACGCAGAAGTAAAGCTCATACTGTATTTCCTTTCTGTTTTTTTATTATGAAAAGTCTACGAATTAACGATTACTGAAAATCAAGAAGTTGTGTGTCCAAGTGATTAGTTACAAGAGTTATCACAAATCATGAAACAATCACTTCTTTCTGCAAACATTCAATATGAATTACAAGTCACTATGATGATATACATTACTCAGTTTGGGTGATCAGAACTTATCGATTGATTGATAAAATCTGTTTATTCTTAATAATCAGACCAATGACCAAATATTTACCTATAGAAATGTACACAATAAGCGCATAAGTGTTTTTACATACAGTTAACCCTTGAGTTTCTCTGTCTCGTGAATGGTCAGCATAGATTATAATTTAAACATCATACACATAGATATTAATTTTATGTAATAATAATAGTAATAAACTGATACATATACACTATAATTTTATTTACCCGACAATTTTATATTGACGATAGTTGAATACATGAAAGATGTATTGAAGGTGGGAGAAGAACAAACTGAAGATTCTTTTCTTTATATGGAAAGAAAAATTCAACTGAATAGTTTCTTTTTGTATGTATAAGAGAAAATATGTAAGTATGAATACATAAAAATGTCACCGGAATGAAGATGTAAGCAGATATAACTAGTGTACACTATGTTCATATGTAATTCTGAAGTGTAATAGGTAGGTAATGAATGCGAACATGGAGAATTAAATAATGATGAATAACTGTTGATAATTACTAACCAATGATTAATGCTGTTGCTGACGTCATCATCATCATAATTATCTTTTTCTTCTTCATATCACTTATAAACGTCTACTGAAAAAACGATAAGCAGCGACTAGGCCGACAGCTCCAACAGCTATTGTTGCTACACTAGTCAAAGCATTTCGAAGTGAACGTAACGTATCATCATCTGTGAAACTACCAGTGACTAAACTAATTAAACTATTATTTCCAATTGTTGTCGAGGTTATTGTTGATTGGTCAGTTTCATCGCGTTGTGATTCAAAATTTATAAGTCCCTCCTGTGAATTGTAAAAGAAAAAAAAGAAGTGGTAGACAGAATGTGATACAAATTCTATCCATTAGTCGAAAGGATTTTATGCTCCTTAGTTTAATTTATGAGTTGTATGTGTTATATACTGATATTAGTTGGGGTACATTTACAATGCAAACTATGCATACAGACAAGTTGTATAATAATATTGACTTTTGTAGGGACAGTAAAGAATGGTCTTATAGAAAGATCAATCTTCTTGTGGATCGAGAAAGAACATGAATACCATTCTGTATAATATAAGGCCTTATTAATAATTTTATAAATAAGAAAAAGAGAATTCAGCGAAGAAAATTTTCTTTTCGACGAAATCATTTACTTAAGCTGTACATTCGTATATATAGTTATATGGAAAATGTATGTCTATAGAAGGATAGAATGGATTGTATCACAAAAATGGATTCGACAATAAATAATAAATGAGGTTACCCCTTGATGAGTACCTTAACCTCATTTATTATTTATTGTCGAATCCATTTTTGTAATACAATCCATTCTATCCTTCTATAGACATACATTTTCCACATAACTATATATACGAATGTACAGCTTAAGTAAATGATTTCGTCGAAAAGAAAATTTTCTTCGCTGAATTCTCTTTTTCTTATTCAATGACACTATGGGTTATTTTAATTTTATAAATATCAGAGTTAGCATTCGATCTTTACTCTATAAAATAGAGAGCATATCATGAACATATTTAAAGAACATCATAATACACCTAATGCTTTATTATTACCGACAATCAATTTTGTTCAGATATACTTTACTATGAAACCAGAAGGCAAAATTACAAATAGGTAGGTCATCTGATACTATTAACCAGTATTAATAAGGGTTTCTAGTATTCGATCTGTTGACATATGTATGCATCCTGGGTTTTACACTTAGCCACATATTAGATAAACAATAACGTTATATCAAGGCAATCTGCACAGAATGTACTAAGATTGATCATAATTCAGTCATGAATATCAGTAGCAACATAATTCAAACCTTTTATAATATATAATATAGCACTTAGTGGCTAACCGAACTCAGTGGATAATGTCATTGAGCGTTTGATGTGAAAGGTACCGGCTTCGAGTTCCAGTGTGAATAACGACACTAGGATGTGACAGGTACATCTAGCTAAAGTCAAACTCTAAATAGAACGAAATGCGAGTCATGGATTCTATTGCTATACAAGTACATATTATTACCCAGTGTTGAATAAAGTGAAGAGGACAGTAACTAGGTTAGAGTCTTCAACGGTAGCATGATGTTTCGTATTCTCCTATTTTCAGTTCATTGACTTTATAATGATTAAAGAGAAAGCAAGCCAACAAATAACAGTTACTTTGTTTTTATTTATCACAGTATATCTAAACACGTGACAACTTTTTGTTACTTATAAACGTATAACACCTTTGTCACACTCTCTGTTATTCAGTTTTGTTTTGTTTACTCGTTGACTGTTTTCGTTTAACTACCCAAACAACTTACATTATACCATCTTTCGGTAATGGCACAAATAATGAAATTGGAAAGCCTCATGAATTATACTTCTGCATGTACATACATACAAATATATATTTCAACTATTTAGTCATATTACCTAATTTTATGGACAAGACATGAAACACAATGATCTCTCACACCATATATATGACGTAATGAATTTAGTATTTTTGAGGAAATAGATACATCAGCACGCACACACACACACATCTATACATATACAAAGAACATACTGGGATCATATATCAATTCGATAAAAATGGGTAAACAAAACAAAATGAAGGACAACTCGATTTAACAACGATAACAATGCTGACAAAGAATTATGAACAATTTTCAAGTAACAACAACAAAATTTCATAGTTTGTGTAACCTCCCCCCTTTCAGATTTATTTTTTCTCTCGTTCCAATTAATTGCTCGTGAATTTTTGTAGAAATGTGGGAGGGAATTTTGGAGGTGAATAAATAAACTGGAGAGAGAGAGAGAGTGGATGAAAGTAACGAAATTTCAAAGAAATATGTAATTGAATTTTGGCAAACATATTAGAGATAGTGAGAAAATTGACTGTGTAGACCAAGGAGAGACGTTTATATTGTCATCTCATCTAATTAGTTGATACTTGAATGCTTTCCCCACTAAGAGGCTATAAAGTTCACTAAGAATGAGACAGTAAATTATGAATAGCCTAAGATGACTGTATCACTTTACATCATAAACTAACTGAAGTTACAAATATACTGAACTAATAGATCCTAACTCAATAGAGAATAGAGAGACAACAACATTAAAAGAAAAGAGAACCATTTGCTCACCCAATTTCCATGAGATGATATCCAATTCCAAAGTCCTCGGGGACCATGTATAAACTCAGTTGTCCACAAAGTATAATCAGCTGCGCAAGGTCTTGTGAATGACACCAAACGCAAGTCACTAGCATTTGACCGATGAGGATCCATTGTAGTTTCTGAATTTTTATCTTTCAATTTTCTATCTGTAGTTTTATCACTGCATGAAGAAGATGGATCAGTAGAAGATAACTACAGAAGAACAAGAGCAACAAAAAATGATTTTAGAACAGACTGTGATAATGTGTTGATTATAAAGTGCTTAAACAGATGAATATTTATGTAAACACATTTACAATGTAAAAAGGAGTATCAAAAAATATATGCCTCACACAGATTTTGTGTGAGGGAAGGGGTACTCTGCTTGAGTGCCCAGATTAGAGACAGGTGGTTTTCCTGGGGGATCGTTTCCCGAGCCCCTAACTCAGAAGCATGTCACAAGGCAGTGGAGCAACATTAAGAGATGTTGTCCCATAACAGTGACTAAGATTGGGTTAATACGCTATTTGTTCCCTCAGGATCCTGAAGCCCATGTGAACCATTGGTTCGGGATCAGGGTTTTTCAACCCCCCCTTGATCTGTATCCACCACCCCGGTTCAAGCGGCGGTCATTCGCTTTTTCTCCTCTCAATTACGTAAGCAACACTCCCGCCACGAGAAGGTATTGAGTAGGACCTTCCTGGGAATGGCTATATATGAACGGCCATTTGAGAGCAATTCGAGAGATATTGGTCTCTATCCATCTTCGGTCGTACCAGGGAATTTGAGGACTTAAAAGTCGACTCCCAAACCAGGAAATTGATGAATATATAAGTGCTAGTATTTTTTATACGTTTAAGATTTAATTTGATACAGAAGTGAATTAATGAAATTAAACATATACGGATAAGCTTGACTATTTTCATAGCCTAAAGAACGAAAATTAATGTGAATATAAGACGGTAATTTATTGTTTATGAGGCGGATAAAAATGCATTACTACTACTGCTGTTCCGTGAAATAAAAAGACTTAGAAAAATTTAGGATACATCAATTTTTCTTCATCATTTGCCCCATTCACCTTAAAAATGCTTTCAATACATTTCAATACAACGTCATCGTTCCCAGTGTTCAATACATACATTTTTTAAAACGTGAATATTTCGCCAAAGGAATTCGTTGGCACAAGGGATTTTCCTAATTTCAGTTGAACTTTAGTCATTCGGACTATGAATCAGTTATTGGGGGCACAATTAACTACACATGTTCAATATTTTCATCAGTAAAGAAAGTTAAAAGTCGTCCTAATTCACTTAAAACTTTAGCGATTTGGTTAGCGTATTAGTTGAGCAGATTTTATTTTGAACAAGAAGAGTTTGAAGGTTAATTAATGAAGGAGAGCTACAGATCGCGTACAACATACGAGTGCAAAAATATGTACTTAATTAGAAGACTAATCGTTAGGATTGTAGAAGTAGTTCTGGTAGAGTAAACGAATCTATTCCTCATTACTACCAACATAATGCTGTAGACGAAGTAAGATGACCATTCAATGAATAAAAGTGACGATAAAATCTTGTGAAATAAAAATCAAAACTTACTTGCTTATTACAATCAGATGTAACAGCATCATTATGCTCAACTTGTTCACAAGAAATAATGGGCAAATCAGTTGACTTAGAAACACCATGATACTGTTGCACTGACTGATGTGAAACTGAATAATCCATACGTTTATTGTTATCTTCAACAACTTCACATAATGTTCGCAAAAATGCCAACATTGCAATTATACGACCCCAGTTAATACGTTCAAGAAATAATTCTTCTAGAACACTATGAAATTGACATCGTGCCATTTCCAATCGAGTTTGAAGTGAATCATCGCTCACATGACTAGAAGCACCACTGGCGTCACCATCACCAATCCTACTATCACTCTTCACACTTATGTTAGTATCATGCACATTAGTAACATTATCATTAACACTAATCTTTGTTGTTTTGTTTGTCTCTTCTGTACAACTTTGATCATCTATGTTATAATTAATATTATCACCATTGGAATTACTATTTAAACGCGCTACATCTTCTAATAAACTGCCCAATTTATCACGATATCTAGACTCAAAATGATCAGCGAGATTTCTGGCGCATAGAATTAATCGTGCAGATATAAATGTTGACGGAATTGACTGATGAGATTGATGATGATACACAAGAGAAGTGAATGGTAGTATGGTGGTATTGGTAGTAGCAGATGGTTCATTACTTGCAGGTTGAATTTCATTTTGAGTCTGAAACAAACAGAATTTGACAGGAGGGTATAAAACTCTCATTTAGGAAGATAGTAAAAATCATGTGCTTTTATAAATTAGAAACGGTTCAATGGTGACTATTGACGCCTGAGATTTCTGACGGAGAAAATCCTGAATCCTAAAAACGAGACTATCTTTTGATTTCAAAAAAATAATGACACACTTCCTAGAGTTAGTGATGGTTGAAAGATATATAAGATTCTTGGATATACCACAACAACCTGAGATTTGACTTGACCATCATATATTACACAATTACACCAACACATCCAATTTTCTTCAACAAAACTATGCAGATCACGTGGTCTATTAGATCGCTAAAGTTTGAAAAGGTAATGGTGGCCTTCAATATAAAATATAGGCAAACAAAGTGAGCGTTTCCTAAAAGAACTATTGTATGATGCTTAGAGAACCCTACAAACAAAATATGCCATTGGGAGCGTTTAATTTCATGAAAAACCTGTGAAAATGAGTTGCGTATACAACACTAATTAGTACGGTCCAAATAATTTAGTGCTAAAATTCCTGACTATGGTGATGGATGATATGGATTAGACTTTCTAGAGGTGGAGGCAAACATCCTCTTAAAATCAAAGACATAACTTGATGAACAATGCCAAACTAGCACGAAACTTAAACACTAAGAATAATGTCAATTGCCTTTAGTCATATAAAATTAGTGTTTCCAAAAAAGCACATTCAGTTGGAATTGCAAGAAAATGTGCAGTGGGATTAACAAATACAGATAGGAAGAAAAATGTATTCAAATATTCTGTTAACATACAGACAAAAATTTACCTGAGATGAACTATTCGGTTTGAAACGTTTCACTGCGCATACTTCTTGATCAGATGACGATGACCGAGTAAAATCTGTATTATCTGTACAATTAATTGTTGGTGTAAGAGTAGTAGTAGCAGTATTAGGGATATTGGGGATTGTAGAAGAATATGACTGGGAAGTACCAGAAGATAAATCCAACTTAACAGTATTTCTTTGCCAATATTCTAAAAGTGTACGCCAGTCTGGAGATAGACGTGAATCAAGTAAATGTGAAAGGAAATTTATTGTTCTCAAAGTAATTGGATTTTGAAATAATACATTATAATTGTAGATACTATCATGATTATTATTATCATTAAATTGTCGTAAAGAGGAAGAGAGAGAAGGAGAAGAGGTTGAGGAGGAGGTATTTTGTTGATTATGATCAATTGATTGATTGAAAACATTTGAATGATTTGGTTTAGGTGAATTTTCAGTAGGCTGGCTTATTGGAACATCGACATCATCATTATTAGTATTATCGGTAGACATATTCATAGTCGCAGGAGTACTAGTAGTAGTGGTCGAATGTTGAACAGGAAAATCAACACCACCAACGTCAGAATAGCCAATGATTGACGCTAATGGATTTGACTGGAAACAATTTGAATCCGGTGGTAGGGGACTTTCAGGCGTAATAGCTGTAGCCGCAGAAGAGAATGGGGAGAAGGAAATATCTGATGTTGTACTGCCGCCTTCCCCACTGGCTGATCGTATAGACGGTAGACAATCACCGATAATAGCACTATTAATATGTGATGTAATACAACACTCTGGTGGAGTTGAAGTCGGTTCACTAATTGATACAGACCGGGTGAATGATTTGCCTTGGACAATATTATATGGATTCAAGTCTAAACCAAGATTATCCCTGAAGAAAAAGGAAAAAACACACAAAATAACTAGGTCTTTTTCTAGCATACTGAGTAGATTAGCGAATTTGCAAGAATACGGGGGAAGGGGTGTTTTTGAGATGTAGAAACGCAGAATTTTTCTCACATTCAAGCTACATCTTTGTGAGTGACATTCAATGAAATAACTTAGATATATTTTTTGATAAGATAATACGACGACAAATGGAAATGACATACCTATGTATTGTGTGATTATGTTAAGTGTTGCTAGTTATACATACATTTATTAAGTTGTACAATGAAAATTACGATTCCGACAGTAAAATTGTTACATTACAGAGTAACAAATAAATTCTTCTTCTTTTTCAAATGATAACTCGCAATGTTCATTGTTAGAATGAAAGATCAGATTTTAAAACTTAAAATCAAGTGAACAATTCACTATCTATTATTATACAAAGACAATTATACACTAACTCAAGAAATTTCACTGTTCTATAATAAAACATGTTTGTAAGTTATTTACTAAGTCGAAACTTAATTTCTCAACTTTGAGTTATAATGTTTATTTTTAAAGGACAATCATACTACCTGGTAACCAAAAGTGAAGTAAATGTTACCGAGTTTGAAACTGAGGTACTTTTCCTGTATTAAGCTATAATTTTCACAAAATTATAGGGAGAGTGTAGACAGGGAATGTGACAATTTAACCGCAATTTATATATATCTACTTGTCAATATGAACGGAAGAAAACGAAGATCCTTTTTTTTAGAAAAACTTGATTACAAACTTGGATACGTTTAAGTAATTGCATTCATCAAACACTTTACAATGATTATATAAGAAATTGCAATTAATACAACTAGTAGAACTGCTCAACTCAATACTGCTTTTATACATACGTATAATTGAAAAACCATGAAACAGACAAATAAGTACACATAGACCATAGGATAAATATAAAGTAATCAGAGGTCATTATCTTTGTTCACTAATTGTTCATTCCATTTCTTTTTCTCTTTTTTTTGTAAAATGAATTTATTCGACAAACAATTTTGAAGGAGGGTCAATATATAAGTGGACTTTTATAAGAACAGGTGTTTTGTTTATCCAGTAACAATAGACTATTTTATACAATGACGTCAGACAATACATATATATATATATATGCACACTTATATCCATGAGTTTGATAACGAGGTCATTAGAGCTGACAACCAGACAGATAAGGTCAGACAGAAATACATCAATGTAATGTAATGTGGATATGAACAGAAGCAAAATTTAATGAGTATAGACAAATAAAAGAGAGACAGAAAGGTTAGAAGATGAAATCTTATAGTTTAGCATAAAATTATAGTTACATCAAGGTTGTTACATTGAAGGGTTTTTTGTTGTAAAAATGAATTTGAAGCATCAAGACAAATTTTCATTATATATTGTAATATGTAATTGGTAGATCGTTAAACTATAGAAAGACATGCAAAGAATACAATTCAAAATTATCGTTTATTTGTAACATAATTAATGGATGCGGACTAATGAGGAGTCTCATACTAGGACGAAACGGCCGTTCAGTACTTCCAAGTTTTCCATGGTGGTCTAGCTTCAACTGACTCATGATTTCAACTATTGAAATTATTAAAATCTTCACAAAACCCCTTCTGATTAAAATTAATCTCTTTACAATTATTAAAATCTTAACAATCTAACAAGAGGAGAAAATAAAATGATATCGTATATCAACTGAAGTTGTAAATACGAGCCACTGGATGTCAAAATTATTGGTTGGAAAGTAACACATAAGGTGCGAAGCATATAATATACACAAATGTTAAACTAATGAAATCAGAATTAAATTGATAGTTGAATATGCAGAAAATCAATTAGTTTGGAACGTACATTAACGAAGGGGACAATCTTTCTAGATGAGTACAATTGACGTTCATGTTTATATTCAATAATAATAAATAGTAACAATAATAATTCAAGTAATTCATTGTGTCAGTGAATAACAATAAAGAGAACTCAGTGAGGGAAATTTTCTTTTCGACCAAATTATTTATCTATCATATTTCTCGTCCGTAATCTCTCACCCTCCCCCATTCTCCTCTAACCGCTTAATTATTGATCACATAACCTTCTTTTGATCTTTGAGATCACTTCATGATGTACTCCTTTCTATAGATTTATATATTTTAATAATCAAATTCATGGGTCCATCTGAGCTAGACCACCGATGAAAATTCGGAAGCACTCGACGGTCGTTCCGTCCTAGTATGGAACTCCTCAGCAGTGCGCATTCACGGTCTCACACATGGGACTCGAACCCAGGGCATTCCGTCTCGCGCGCGAACGCTTAACCTCTACACCACCGAGCCGGCATTCAACAGTGTTAATGTTTAGTTTCAACCAATCCACGATATTGCGCCATCGTCTATCATCGTCTCCAGACACGGTTGAACTCCATTGGTCACGGCTTCTCACTAGAACTCCAGGAAATACCATTTAATCCAGTCACTAATGAGCACATGGTTATTATTATCAGAATGGAGGTTTGCATATATTTACTGAACAACTATTAATACGAATGTACAGCTTAAGTAAATGATTTCGTCGAAAATTTTCTTCGCTGAATTCTATTTATTTTTATTGAATTATAGTTATCTATCAGTTTTTTTCCCGAAACACCAGTCAATAATGGAATTATTTAGTAGTAGGAATGATAACATAGACAAAAAACCAAATATTCTTAAACAAGAGTAGATAGCATACTAGTGAGCATCCCACTTTTCAACCCCCTCCCACTTCGATACTGTTCTACCTTGAAATTGGACAGCCAAAATCAGTAACGAATTACAACTATACATGTTTATTTTTTACAGACAAATTAACGCCAAATACATGAATTTGTATTTAGTTATGAAATTATATTGTTTTAATACAAACCAATAAAGTGGATGAAAGAATATTATTACTACTTCATACTTAACATCAAGTAAAAATTAGCCACAAATCATTTAAAAGAATATACATTTAAGGCAATATAATGTAGTAATATATTTCTTTTACCTAGCTTGAATACTTGATATATATATATATATATAACTAATTTATGACCATATGAGTTGGTCAGTTAGTCAGACAATGTCAATAACTCACATGCAAATGACGGAAGATGAACACTATAATTCCATTATCAACGCAAAATACTGCTAAGGAAATGTATATGGACTCAAGTTGTAAACATTTGAAACTATTATGGAGACAAAATTCACAGGATCAGTATCGGGAAATGAAAAGTATGGGGCAATATTTAAACCGATTTTCAACTATCCCATCCAAGATTTCCAGTCACAGACTATGATTATCTGATGCAAAGCAAACAGGTAGTCTAGATCTACAGGGGCAAGGCTCAATCCAGTAATCAGTGACTTTATAGAACGATGGCGTCATTTCTAATTGACACTAATGATAGCCACCACTGCACGTAATTATTGTAGCTTATATGACAAACATAGGCTCATGCATTGGCCTTCAAACTACGCTACAGTACTACTCGGTTAACGAGACCAAAACAAACAGAGCGAGGTAGGGAGTCATAGTCTAGTGGTCGATAAAAATGTGTCTCAGCCACTAAGTTATTGTTGTACATCCAGGTGTGTGATGGCTTGGAACGAGTAGCGCATGTCCCAGACATCTCAGACGATGGAAATTTGTGATCTCGCCGACTGATTTATCACCTTTTAGCAGTATCATGTCTAACCTCTGTGTTACCTACTTGATAGTCCCCGTTAAGTGTGCAATGCTTCTAAGGCATCTATGACTGAGTACTAGAAACACATACGTATTCATTAACAATCATAGACCATGTTTCGCAGTTGCCTAAAACTGTAAAACCTACTGATAATAGGGACGTAATTCCATTAACTGTATCTTTGAAGCACTGCTCGTGTACTATGGGATTAAGCAATTCATGAGTTAAGAAAGGGTACTAGGTAATGATGACGAATCGATTGATGAGGTAATAAATCTCCATCAAATGAGATGATTGGGACAACTGTTACGTATGTTCATCCACCGTATACCTCAACGCACGATTTTGCCTGATGCAGGAGTAAGTTGGAAGAAAGATCAGGTTATTCAAACAAAAACATGGCATCAGTTCATGAAGTCATTAACAATTGGACTGAGCCACGTTGATAGGTGCGGACTACCTAGTTAGGGTATGCGTGATTATCGTAACAAGTGGTTAGACTTTGAATGAAATGGTTTAAAGTCGTTTGGAATGGTGTACATGCATTCATTTTCGTCTTTCCCCAAATTCGAAGCTTCTGAATTCTATACAATTTTCTTTATTTGCCCCCAGATGCCTCAATACAGCTGAGGGTGGGGAGGGTTAGCTCTCTGCAAATGCCCTCACGTGGCCACGCGTATACAGCCACTGTCAGAGAAGTCCTACTCACCGCCTTCTCGCACCACGGGTGCCTTTTACGAAATTGAGAGGACGGAAAGAGAATGTCCAGTGCTTTAACTGGATCGGTGGACACGGAGAGTTGGAAAACCCTCACTCCAAACCAATGGCGCATATGGACTTCAGGATCCAGGAGAAACAAATAGCGTATAAACCTATTGCTGGTCACCGGTTACCACGGGACTGAATCTTCTGACGTTGCTCTACTACCTTGTGGATCAGGCTTTTAGGAAGATGGCTTCGGGCATGGTCCCCTAAGAAAACCACCTGCTTTGGTCTGGGCACCCGGACAGTATCACACACAAACCAAGTGACTTCTGCGGCACATATGTATTCGGTGCCCCGTTGTACCAATATTTATATGTCCAAATAAATAACTTTACATTTACATAAATAGTATTTTTGATGCCTAATATTTTGTATTACCACTCATATTATTACTGTTTCTACTATTCTGGTATTAGCCCTAAAGATTTCATCTCTGTGCTAACGGGCCCTGGTAACTTGAACGGATGTATAAATGTACCAGGTTCAACTATGCAATAGACTCACTATGTTTCTTAAGTTGTATGAAAGAGACGATATTGTATACAGATCTTTGATCTATGCCACTTTTTGATACAGTTATCGTTGGTTTGTTACGTGGTTTTGCATTTAAAAGACTTAAATACTGTAACTAGCTACTGATGACGCAAGTCCGTACAAAGCTGTCGCTCTTTTTTGGGTGTACCTGTCTGAACCTTTACCATATCAGGTAAGGTAGGAATAAACTGATTGTATCAAATACTGTTGCATAGTATCGATTTCAGCTAGGTTCAAAGCTAAATGTCAACTCATTGGAAAGTGTATCCAAGATTATTTGGAAATAGCAACAACACCTAGTTGTTTCTCTAACGCATTTTCCTAGTGAATACCGAGCTTCTGTAGATTGCCCGGATATCCTTGTTATCAACTGGATTGTCCCAGTGAATGGCGTGCATATTATTGCTTGAATGTAACTCATTCAACAAGTACGGTAAAAACTCACAATATTGAGAAGTAACTTAGCAAGGTTAAAAAAGGGATGTACTTTATCGCATTACTGGAGATGAACCACTAGAAGAAATGGGGAGGTTCATATATCTAGATAGCTTATCAATGAGAATGTAGATGAGGTCAACTTTTGTACAACAAAAACGAACTACGTATATCTAGATCGCCTTTAGAATATTAGCAATGTCACATTGAATACAAAAGAAGGTGCGTACAGTTCTTTTGAATGGGTAGTTTTGCTTTATGCAATTGACTTGATATCTTTAAGATGATGTTTAATCATCGCTGACTTCATTGGATTACTGTTCTTACATTTATTCGTTGAACCAAGTTGTAATAAGTATGAAATGACTTCACACATAGTAATCTTGAAATTTACAATAATAGGTCAATCATAGAAGACGTCGAATGTAGCATAAACGTGAGTCGACCGAAATTTCCATAATATACTAACACAAAGAGATGAATTTAGGAAAATTCTAGAGTAGTACATGTGAAAAAACCCAATATGATTAAAGGAAGAATTAATTCGCGAAATGATTTAAAAACCTGGAAACTGACGTTAAACGAGTGAACACATTAGGATACTTTCAACCAATTCTCAGACATATAACACCCCTAACCATTAGTCTCGATAATTGTGCAGACCTCAGAAAGGCAGTCAGCACTTACCTACGACTGTTGACTCAACAGTCAATGACTTTATGCAATGATGCCACTTTTTGTTTAAGCGCTCTTTGGCATTCCTTGAATCTGCTCCTACACCAACAAATCATGCATTAAGGAAGATGGTTGAGAACATGCACTGCATATATTGGCCACCTTAGTTGGAGGAGATTCACTATCTCGCCAACCGATTTGCTATCTTTACCTAGTACCTTGAAACCAAACATTGGTCTTACGTGACAGTACCGACATAAGTAAGCAAGGTTTCGGAGTCATTAACAACCAAATGTTAATTACTCATAAACACCTGATTTGACTGGATTAAATTTAACTTTGACAATATAATATATTCACTCATTTTAATGTCCCTACAGTATAAAAGTGATATTACAACATGAGAGTTCATATTTGAAGTTTACGGAATCCCACTGCGAAGTTACTTTACTAATTTCTGTGGAATAACTTAAACTTCCAATGTGCAGACGTTACTTTAACACTCCAAGTCAAACAATGTAAAGTTAATGAGAACGGAGAATTACTTATCAAAAATAATTTCTGATTTATAAAAAACAACTTGAACCAGTGCGTGGTAAATAAACTGTGCTAATATTTTCTAAAACAAGAGAACAAGCTGCATACTGAAGGAATAGACAAACAAATACCACACTTTTCAGAGCAACCTGTATTACTATCGTCTTGATTAACTAAACCAAAAATAACACTCAAAGTATCTGATGTTTTTGAAAAGGCTATTTGAGCACCTAACTTCTTTGCCTTACTACATTTCATAATGAACCCGTACCAATACACCGACTCGATCTCCCTATTTTGGGGTTTCCCCAAAATCTAGAAAAAATTGGTACGTTTCTGTAAAGTTTGGGAAAAAAACCGTGTTATAAACTTCAGGGGGGAATATTGGGGATTCTACCCATACCTGGGAAAATCTTGAAGCCGTATCGCCGTTCCCTAAAAGTTTTCGATTGCGGTACCCGCAAAGTTCATCCAAAACGGACATTTTTTTCCAAAATAGGGAGATTGTAGATGTATCCTGTACAATGAGGGAAGTATGGCATACTACTAAATATACCATGAATTATATCAAATACATAAGTACACTTAAAACTCTTTAAATAGAACTAAATCACTTTAAAGGAATGTAAAAACGGTAAGCATTTTACATTTAGTCTACACTCCTTGCGACTCAATTGTTAATCGTGCGCTATATATTATCACTGCTATCGGCCGGGTGACCCCCGGGCTGTAATTGATTTAGGGTTATGAAATTGATAAGTAAACAAAATTGGACTAACACAAGACGAGTTTGTGAATCCCCGACCGGCATTCCTGGGACGCAAATACGCCAACTGGAGAGTGAGGTTGTATTTCCCCCCTCCGGCGATATAGATCTCAGTGGTGGTTTTAAACAATGCGCTTAAGTATCTCGCATGTGGCGTGGTCATATGAGGTGTCAAATGTTCATCCGTTAGTCCGGGTACAGTTCTATTCTAATATGCTTTATACATCACTTTTGAGCATAGAAGTGGAAAGTCTGTTAGTAATCGATTCATTGATGCAAATGTTTATGTACGAGATATTTCCGATGGAAGTTCTGAAAGATTTTGTAGTTGAATAAACTGAATCAGCTAAGAAAATACTTAATGACCGTTTATTGTCCGTCCTTGTGAGTTACTAGGTGTAGTTAAATTTCGCCGATTTTTTTTAACGCCAGTTAAACCAGCTGATATACCCTAGGTGGAAATTCTGGAAAACTTTCAGTAATAGGTTCGAACGTCCAGAAAAAAACATTTGCGTGAAATTAATTGACCAATAATAAAATGTATTACATCGCTTCATCCCCAACTTACGGCAGATAATGGATAGACTAAACGTCTAGTACATATACATCAGTTGATTAATGCCGTTATCATCCTAACGGTTATCAGAAACGCCTTCATTAATTCACGGAATATCTCTAATAGATTCGGTGACAAAGTGATCTCCCCTTACAAGGAATGTCAGTTGGGTAATTACATTATATTGGTTTTCTGTTTTGGTGTCTTATATAAATAAATAAACGACAGCTGCACAAAGCTGTTCTATGCCATTTCCGTACACTGAGATTTAGTTCGCATTTAAGATAGACTTACCCCATTCCGATAACCCCTTTTAATATTACATGGTGTTATTACAAATAGTTTTCGATGAGGACTGAAGACAGATATCAAAGTGGGCTCCAGGCACTAAGATCTAACTGATCAACAACCAAAGTTAACAAACAAACACAAAGTCACCGTGTATAACCTATCAGAATTAAAATGAAAGGCGAAACTGTTGCAATGACACTAAAAGTAATGTTATTCACACGGATGAACTTAAATTTACTTACGCTTGTTATTTCTAGTGGAATAGCATGGGCCGCTTACCAGCATTCTCCATCCAACTCTGTCCTGAGCAATCCTTCCTGGTTCTTTCTAGTTACTATTCAACATTTTTACATCTGCTTCTAATTTCCAACGTAGTGTGTTAGTCGGCTTGCCTCTTTTCCGTTTCCTTTCAGGATTTCAAGTTAGCCCATACCTTATGATGCCGTTTAGTGATTTCTGTAATGTATGTCCTATCCACTTTCAAATAGGTGAGCTTAAAGCACAAAACGAAAGTGAATATACACAGACTAGAAATATCTAACCTATAACTATTATCAATCCTAAAAATATTAACTTCAGAGGAAAGGAAGTGAAGATTTCTTATTGAGGAGATGTTCCTGATCCCAAATCTACAAACATTCAGAATGACTTATAAGTGGAGCACACTGTCGCGTTTGCATCTACAACAAATTGAAAGTTCCGAAAAGCTGTGAGAAACGATACTATAACCCTTACACAACCTCCTCTCTTGGCTTTAATGTCGGTATACAACCTTAAGCAAAAATAAGCTCACTCATGTGTGATAAATGTACCATAATACTAGTAGATCACAGGACTGGTGCTGCTTCCCCAAGTAAGATCACAAACTTAAGGCTGATGATTTTATTTCATTTCAAGTAGCATGATTACTTTCTCTTGGTGAAAACAAGTAATCACATCTTGTTATAATGGAATAATGTATGTAAGCCATTAGATCCTGTCCCAAATCACCCCATGTTTAAGCATTTGGACCCTAACAGCTTTCCGTTCAGTGAGTCCTTGAGATCCTTGTCACTTAGATTGGACAAACGGATCAGGCAAGAAGAATTAGTACTACAAAGTACTCACTCGAAATCTGTGAAAAAACTCTATGATCCCGATGGAACCAAAAAAATTATGGTCAGCTGGTCTGACATACAAGTGACTCGAAATGATCAGCAGTAATTTATGTGGCTACAGAAACGATCAGTTTTCATATTAATTCCGTCAAACAACACCTCAGAATTATGCACCTTATATTAACCATGTCATTTAAACAGTAGCTATGGGATTTCGACATCATTACTCCCACCCTGACAGGTATCTAACTACATATTTCTGCTCTACTATTCCCACGGCCATCTAAACATTATGGGTTTAGAGCAGCCCAAATTAAAGAAGATTCAGGGAAGCTTCGGTCCGCACAGATGGGCTGATCAAAGTGGTATCCGACCGAGAATTCTGGACGAATATGTCTTTCACCTTTAAGGTTTTCTTCAACCCAGAGAAGAGTGCTTTCTAATTGGTTTCTTTACCTTGAAAAGAGAGAATATCTAAAAAGGAAATCGGACTGAAAAACAACTCTTACTTATTATTCCTAAGAGCTCCTAATCTATAGCCAGTGCGCTGTAAGAGGGTTAAGAAGGGACATAGTCTTACAGCATCATTTCCATCCATCCATCACGTTGACCAGTCGGTGAGTTCATCATGGTTACATAAGAACCATATCAATGTAGCAATCCAAGGTAGCAATATCATTTGTTGCTGCCAGTAACTAGTAGACTATTCTTTAACTTATTTATTGGGAATGATTATTGTTCAGCATAAGATGTTTTGACTGGCGGTCGGTGACAAAAATTGCATCCCGCACACTCATTCTTTTCTCTGGTCCTAGTGTTCGGAAAACAAATTTAAATCAGTATTTGAAGCTCAGTACTCGCCTCTCTTGAGGAACAAATAGTTCACTAACAAAGTTTGAAGTTTCAAATTATCTGAATTAACCACATTAACTGATAACTTATACTGTAACTTATTTTTACAACCTTCGAATACGATAACTCACTTTTGAAATCAATCAGGTGTAAACGACATTTAACAAATACACAACGCACACGATTTCTCTCTATGTATTCACAGAATGCTTTTGATTCATCTGCAAGCGCATTAGGCCTTCTTAGTATTCACTTATCCACATTTCAGAGTTATCAACGCAATTAAAATTAGTGAAGGAATCGTTGACATCTGAATGTTAACTACCTGTCCAACTAGTCCTTACTGGATCTACATGTTTGTCATGAAGTGAATACTCATTTGAGTTAAAAATACTTAAAGTTTGAATTCATATTTTTCAGACTATATAATGGTGAACTAATTTTACAGAAGAGATTGAATAGTCCACAAAAATTACTGTTCTGTAAGTTGAACTGGAAATACTCGTTAGTGTACTGTAGATGACTAACCAGAAGTCCGTCATGAATTCGAAGCAATTACAGTAACTACTAGGAAGTTACACGATTATTGGGGAGGGCATACCTGTTTTATTCTGTATGTGTCAAGAGCATTATAGCATAATGTGAAAACTCATAAGTTGTCCAGTAGTCATTCCTGACAGGACTTTTAGGTCAAGTTATTCTTTATGCTCGAATATGGTATAAGTAGTCTACCGAGAATGTGTAATATACTCGGAATCCATGTTCAAATCTTGTGGTTAACATTTCTCTCTTCCTTCAGTAGATCTATCAAAAATGTTAGTTTTTGTTTGTATTGTCGTATAGTTGAACCTTTAAACAACAATGTTTCTGGTTTTGTGGAAGTTGTTGATTCCCTTTGTGGTACGCCTGGAATCTGCTCTGGTTTGTTCTTCAGGCTCGGCCGATTGCTATACTGATAACCTACGGCTGTCGTGATATTCAGCATTCGGGCGGATTGAAAATAATCACCAACTAACTGTCAAATATCGATAACTCTTTCCTGCCAGAATACAAAGAAACTTCCAAGTTAGCCTAACTCCTAAAATACTGTTGAGCACAGGGGCTCTGCCGTAATCCTAAATTTGTTATAATTAACCTGAGAACAATAATCATAGAATATGAAAGTTTTGATCCATAGCAACCAGCTACACTGAGCAATAAGACGTCTGTGATATAAATAAGCTCATTAAACCCCAATTAATGTACTGTTCATTATTCGGATGTACGAAATTAGACAAATTGTAAATCCGCGGCTTATATAACTAAAAAAAATTCTACGTATCCGAAACAGCGTGAACCATATAATATTTTATCATTTGTCTATAAATTTCGAATTACGGTTTTATTCGATAAATATTTTAAGCCATTGTCAATTGTGTTTACCTTGTAGTGACCAACTTTTATCAAGGGAACGCGATTGGTGTAATGGAAACAATTATTATTATAGCCAATTGTACCAGTGATTGTTTTACTATGCTCGTTTGCTTAGCTGTACCAAAACACATACATTCTTCCGTTGATTGTGACCTCGCATGAATTCGTTTACGCTCAGTAACCACACTTGTAACCTGGCACGATCTCGGTATTGTTTTAATATCATGAGATCGCCCACAAATACATCTCGACTACAGCCATCAACTGTCTTCTGATATTTGGCTTACGGGGAATCTCATCGGTTAACTGTCACGTAGCATTCCTGTAGTGGTGACCATAGACAACCGCGACTCGACGCCACACTACAACCTGGTGTTATCTGTTGCTCAGTGAGATTACAAATTATGGACAATCCTGAGCGATATCAAGTTGCATATGGCGAGTAATAGTTTAATCAATAGGAATGTGAATGAAATATGAAGTTGATTTTTTCCCAACCGTGTGTGACACGTATCCATATCTTAAGATGGATTATGTATGTCCATCCAGAAACTCATTTAATTCTTGTTGTTAAATACAACTCAGTTCAGTTCATCCAAATCTGATTGATAATCCCACGAAATAAATTATATAAAATATGATGTGTTTTTAAATCATTTCGACTAATTTTGGAAATCGAGCAAATCCTTATAACAGTCTTTTGTTTTACATTTCACGGCTTTCTTTTGTGTTCAAGTTGCCGTGTAGATTCAGCCTAGGGTTATTAGCAGTGGCTAGCAAATTGAGTCGAACTTGATCCAAATCGACAATGAGAAACTTCAATCATTTAATAGTTTATAATAGATTTGTGAATTAGTGTGGTAAACCAGAATCAGGAGTTAAGGTTATGAATCAAAGTTAGGGTTATCACTACAAACTGCTATTAAATATGATGCTTGAATACTAATTAGTCACATGTATGAGTGAAAGTCAAAAGGATGCTGTCTTAAATCTAAAGATGCCAGAAGTATTCGGAGTTCGACAATGCCTTAACCAGTAGCACCTCTTATAATAGAAATATGCCAACACAATCAAACCAAAAGTCAGAAGTGAAGAGGTTCGAAGATATTTTTGATAGGTCATCGATATACAGAGAAATAATCAATCTAAGCTGGTAAGCTGTTGTAGGAA